AACAGCCGTGCATTATCACCTTCGGACTCGAAGTTTTCGAGCAGGAGGTCTTGGTACTCCTCAAAGTCATTGGAGATTGCCTGCTTTTCATCCACCGATAAGTGACAAATCTCTGCCGGCGAGGTTTGATCATCACAAACACTCAAGGCCGAAGCTGGAAGTCGTGGTAATGGAAAAGACACTTGTAGTAGAGCACGTCGAAGTTCAGGATCCAAGCCTCGAAAGGATCGGGCCGTGTAGGCGGCCAGCGCGATGCGGGTTCCTCGCCAGGGCATGGTGGCATGCCATTGGTCCGCATCAAAGGAAATCACCTGGTGGTAAGGAGACAAGAGTTGCCCGTTGGCTAGGGATCCATTTGGTTTCTTACGACGTCGCACCTCACCAGTGGCAGAGTCCTCCGAAGTTCGTTCCAACCACAGTTCTCCATGCTCATGCTCGCCGAAGGTAATCACATAGTTCGGCTGGCCTTTCAAGTTGTGGAGGTCACGATGAGGTTTGGACTCCATGTTATACACAATCGAAAACGTGGTCCAGTGGGCGGATGATGGAGCCCACGCCTGAAGCCACTGGTTGACGTACTTGCAGAGCTGAGGGTTCTGGAAGGTGGAGTTCATGACACCACACTGAGATCCATGCGCGTACAGCCCGTAGCTCACCACAAAGGAAGTGGTCGTCTTCTTATCCATGAACTTTCGCTGGGGCACGGCATGGGCAGCTCGAAGTTGCATCAGGAAGTTCTCCATCGTCACCATGGAGTAATCCCGCTCGTGCACGTAGGAGGCCGCGAGGTTCTCGATCATCTCTTCATTCTCCAAAAGAGCATAACTCACTGGATTCCGCCGCTGCGCTGGTTGTACTCCAGCTCCTCCGCTGCCTCCTCGTTGCGCTTCACTGCCTTCCGGCCTGGATGCGCATGCATGCCCTCGTTCACCTCTTCCACTTCCACCAACACAGTTGACGTCCCCAGGGAGCTGGTCGGCGAGGTGGGGGACGGAGAGCTCGTCGGAGGTGCTGAGGTTGAAGGGGTCGCCTTGGGAACCGAGTCCTTCTGGGCAAGTCGCTTTGGCGCTGCTCCACGTTGCCCGGCCTGTTGGCTCATTCGAGCCTGACGCACTCGTAGCAAGTTGTCCTCGGCACTCTTCTCCGCAGCCGCCCATCCAATGTCCTTGTCCTTCAAGGTGTTCAGATTGGGCAGCTCCTCTTTGACCGCTGACTGAACATCCTTCGGCAGGGCTCCCGGTGAGCGGTGAAGGGCATGACATCCGGCACGAGGTGTGTAAGACAGGCGCAGAAGGCAACGTTCGCATGCTATCCATTGGCCGTACTGATTCGAGCCTGAAGGGCTGCCCTTGAACATCCGGGCTGGAACGTGTTCCCCGTTGCATGGGGGGCCACTGTGGCGAGGATCGCGAGGATCGCTCTCGACTGTACGATCCCAGTCGAGTGGCTGAGCCTTGTAACCGCCCTTCTTCGGTTTGGCCTTGGCCGCCTCCTTCCCGGAGGTCACGAATTGCTCCTCGCTCTTGTCGGGATTCTTGGAGGTCGGTGGCTCCAGCTGACGCTGCGCCATGAAGAGCGAGGAGAGTAAGCAAAATGTTGTGGGAATGCATGGACTCAGCGTCCATCTCCTCGAGCCGGAACGCATCGGCATTCACCGGGACCTCATTGTCGTGCTCGGGTACATTAAGAGGGTCACTCCCTAGAGACGCTGCTTCAAGAACTGGTGCACACACATTGGACTCAACCTCACTCACACGCATCTCCTCACCCTCAACTGACTGCACCATGTAGGTTGTTTCTTCACGATGCGGAAGAACATGTGAGGCGACTCTTGCGCGAGGCTCCAGCAAACTAAAGGAGTGAACCATCAAGTCCTGTCGCAAGTCTAACAGCAAGTGACCTGTCACACTGCGCTGCAGCTGGATGCCTCGGTTCGGATCCACGGCTCCCATGACCAAGATATCACGATGACAGTCGATCACTGAACGCAACCGGCGCAAGGTCTTTATACCTATCAGCAGCGGCACTCCTTCCACGTCTAATGTGTAGATCCCCATGGGAACTTGATGAGTGCCAAGGGTAACCGGCAACAGAATGTGCGAAGAAGACATGTCTTGGGACCCGTTTCCGAACTTGAAGCGCTTCGGTGCAGCATTGGTAACCGCTACTTCTTCCACTTGACGAGTAACTTCATAGCGAGCTAGCATCAGAGACTCCAAAGCAGGTAAACTTCCAACTGTCTCTGTAGCACCTGAATCCAACACCGCAAAACCATCCATGCATGACCCAGATGCTGACTTCTGGACCAGGATCATGTCAGGAACCTCCACTGTCATGCTCTCCTTGGACATGGGATCCTGGTGGACAGCTACTTTCTGGTTGCACATCACATACGTCTCAGACACGGGAGACACCGTCAGAGAAGTCCAATTAGCTGGGGTAGCCATCGGAGAAGTCGTAGAAGCTGGTCGTGTAGCCATCGGAGAAGTCGTAGAAGCTGGTTGTGTAGCCATTGGAGAAGTCGCAGAAGCTGGTTGTGTAGCCATTGGAGAAGTCGTTTGCACCATATACACCTCCGGCTCCATGTGGAAGTGGACCTTGCCGCTCCCTTTCGCTGGACCTTTTGCTGAGCGCCTGGGACAGTCACGAAACTGGTGATTCCTGTCCCCACATATGAAGCAGCCACTATAGCCTGCCTGGCCTGGACTCACTGCAAAGGTAGGGCTATCACTCATCAACACCGGCAACGACATGTTTGCCACAGGCGACGTTGGCGTTATCCCTTTCTTGCCCTTGCCCTTGCCCTTTGAGAAAGGGCGACCTTTGCCCTTCCCCTTTGAAGAACGGAAGCCTTTGCTCTGCGGGGCAAAGGGGTAGAAACCTCGGCTCAGATGGCGAGCTCGTACAGCTTTCCTGGCGTCCACAAAGGTTCGAAGCTTAGAGTCCGCGGCCTGGTAGGCTTCCTCAACCTGCTGAAGCTCCTCCGCCGTGAGGATATTGGCAGGATCCTCCTCTGGAGTCCAGCCGGACAACTCGTCGCCCCAGTAAGTCCCGTCGGGGCCGCTGGTCCAGCTCTCATCGCCGTATTCCTCTTCCTCAGCCCAGACATTGAAGGCACTTTCATCGCCCACGTAGTGCGTCGGAATCCCGTCCAGACTTTCACTGAGGTCCTCATCATCGGCGAGCAGAATGCTCCAATGGCCTTCGTCCTGAACCCAGAAAGAACGACGTCGGCCAGCAGGATGAGGAGTTCTGGATTGCTCTTGGGCCAAAAGCTCATCTTCCATACCACGAAGTGCCACCTCGACACGATCAAGCTTCAGCGAGTTTCCAGAAGCCGCCTGGACACTCAGACGAGCCTGGGCACTAAGGCCGGCTCGCCGCAACAGCAACCATCCGAGAAGCTCCGAGGGCAAGACTTCCTCCAACTTCTCTTCGTAACGATTCCAGAGCTCCAGGTCAGCAAGAGCTTTCACACTGTCATCGCTGTCGCTGTCTCGGCGTTTGCGCCGAGGAGGTCGAGGCTCAGAAGTCCGTGAAGCGGGGGAGGAAGGGAGTTCTTCATCACGACGGAGTTCTTCATCCTCTGGAGATCCGGCCAACGTCTCCGTCTCGTCTTGTTCTCCCTCTGTCTGCTCTTCGGCATGCGGTTCCTCCACGGTTCCCTGACTGGTACGACGAGAGGAGCGAGTCTTCGTAGGAGTGCTGGTCGGCGAAGAGGAGGAGATAGTTCGGGGCTCTTTCCGGGCTCGTGCTAGGGCCAGCTGAAGCTGGCGGTAGGCATCTCTCAACTGCGTCGCCCACGTGGCCATGCTGGTTCCAGGGTGGCGCCGCAGACGGATCATGAGCTGCTCCAGGCGTAATCCCACATCGGGGATTGGCGTTTTGCAAAGACGATCTCTAAGGAATTCGATCAAGTACACCACGCCGTCGCGACGAACAAGCTTTCGGTGATCGAGCTCTTGCGTCACCACCCAAGCATGTCCACTGAGCTGGCCCACTATTTCAGGGCCCAGCAAGTGCCTTTTCCGCCGCGAGGTCTTCTCGAAGGCGAGGCGGACGCAGCGTAAGAAGTCAGCCCATCCTCCTGGCTCCCCGTTCCATTGGCATTTCAACCAGGACGAGTCCTTGTCACCTGAATTCATGAATTTTGGCCTGCAGTGACACCGCGGAGGAACGCAATGAGGTACCTGTTCTCCCTGTCGGGGAATCTCACCCGAGAGGACGTTGATCAACAGATAGTCGAAGGCACCGTCGGGAACCTCAAACACCAGTGCACACACCGTGAGCTTCTCACGGAGGTAGGGAGCCCGGATCGATGCTCCGCTACCAATGTCACTGGCAAGACACCAGTGACACTGGAAGCTTGAAGATCCGACAGAGCAATCGCGCTTGACTCACTTTTCCGCACCGCTCTCGTGAGCGTCCAGGGTGGCTCTTGGGAGCCGCTCAGAAGCCTATGGCTTTCAACGGGTAGCACTGCGTGCTTCAAACGTCGGTAGCACAAGATACTTGGGCCAAAGGAGCTCCTGAGCAGCTGAAGATATACAAAAGCCTGAGATGGAGTGTTTGATCAAACATGCCGTGGGTTCACCTGCGACACTGCCGGGAACCTGTTCAGGTTCAGGGCTCAATGAGCGCTTCAGTGGAAAAACTGTGGATGCAAATTTCGATACGACAGCTGTCGTCTTGCTCATTTTTCGTGGCGTGCGTATGGCAAACTCGTGAAGATGGCAAATTAAAATGTGTTCCTGTGCCAACGGATGAACTGCGCCCATGTGCCCTGAGAAAATTCACAGCGGCCATGTATGGTTTCACCAGCCGCGCTGGCTGTCGCAGCAAAGGCAAGGCAGCTCCAAGCAAGCTGCGTCTCGTTGAGACAACTAAGGCACATGGGCCAACGCATGTATGCTGGCGAAATCTGCAGTTCAGACCTGGACATCGGAAGAAAAATTGAGATCAAGAACAGGGCGGTTAGGCGCCGCTTTGAGCTGAGGGACGAAGGCCAGCGACCGCTGCCGACAATGTTGTCGCATCCTGGAGCGCCGGCACAAATATAACACGCCCGTTTGCGAGCCGGGCTCAATGATCCACCATACCAGCGCCACAGCTATTTATGCAAAGGGGGGCAAGCCCACGTACTATTCACTGCCGTCGCAGTTGCTATCCAAGCGGTCCGGTGCTGCACGAAGATTGGCCAAGCAGCGCAACAAGCTCAGGCCCTGGAAGGTTTGGGGATGGATCGATACAGTTACTGGGATGCTGCATGGGCTATGCTGTTCAAACTTGGTCATTTCCCCTGTCACCTTCGAGATAGCGCATCTGAATTTTTATGCGCAGTTGCCAATTTCACAAGGCCTGAGCCCATCGTGTACGGCAGGCTTCCAATCCAGCGGTGAATGCGACCTTCGGCGCACAGGCTGCAGAATTCTGCCTGTGCATGTACCACAGGCCTCATGTGCAGGATGTTCAACACCTCGAAAAGGTGACACCTCGCAGCCACTGCCAGCTCCGTGAATCTCCGTGATACTATGGCCCACGTGAAAAGCAGAACCATCTACAAGCCGTAAACACCACTGACTAATTACATTGCAACAGCTTACGTCGACTGCGTAGTCATACCCCAGGTTTGATTTGGCACCAGGCTGCCGCAGCAAGCTTCAAGGCAGCAACATGAACACTACATGAACCCCCACACCCTGCCACTAGCTTTTGCATCGCTCTGAGCTCTTAATCGCTTTTGGCATCCTGTCCGATCAAATTTAAATGCCTGCTACGTCCAAGTGTCAGAATTGGCATCCTGCGGTTCAAACTTCTCGGGCTCACGATGACTTCGCTCGGTGCCAGTGCATCAGGCGTGAGTGACCACTAGTGCACTATGCACAGCAGGCCTGAAACAGCAAAATAACAAGAAATACAACCAAGGCACTAAGAGACGGAGAAGGCGTTGCCACTCGCCAGCTTTCTTGCAGGTGAGGGCGACGTAATTCCTTACCCAGTTCAGGCCCGAAGCCATCGACAGCATTTCTGCTGCAAACATGGACAAACCGTGATGCGAGTTCGTCTGGTTTTGCCACAGGACGTGCATGCCAAAGTTGGGGAGCACAGGCAGAACCTTTTAAAGCCTGTGGTAGCCCAAGCATCCCAAGTCCATAATGCTCCCAAGCACGACTTCTCCTTTCGAATCATTCCGCCACTCCTAGCATCAGTGTACATGCATTTTTCATGATTTTTAGCTTTTTGGTGTCCTCTCGCTTGGAGGCTGTGGCAAGCTGTGGCGAAACTGGTGAGGACGATTGAGGACGCCGGGCGTCTGCAGACTTGCGTCCACGCTTTGTGTTTCGCAGCTGCGAACTTTTGCACGTGAGGATTCTATCGAATCGAGACTTGGCACGAACAACCACAAGTGACAAGTGGTTCATGTCTCCAGGTTGCTTGGTGTACACTTGCTACTTCGCCAAGATCTGGTCCAAGGTGGATCAGAAAAAGTCTGGGTTCTGGCAAGCAGCAAGAGTATTTTTGGCGCGACGGCCACGCCTGTAAAGGTTCAGGCGAGTGGCAGCCCATGATCGTAGATCTCCACAGCACTTCGTTGCATTCTTTGAACCTGAGTTGTTGACATCACTTCCTCAAACTTGCCCCACGATCCGTTTGTGGCTTTTGACTGTCCTTTCCCTAGTCTTCTTCTGGTACGTTGTGTATGTTGTCTTCTCAGAAGCACAAAGCCATAGAGCCGACAGCGCCTGCACGCCAGGTGCTCCAGTGCAGCCTTGGCCCTTAAAACTCCTGAAACCTTGGGTGGATAACCACCGGATGACAATAGCGCAAACACCTCGGGGACGTGGGCAAAAACGAACCTGTGGTCCACTTAATCTCCAAGGTTGTTGCTTCCTGTTGCCGCTTTTCCTGGCAAAGGTCGGTAGGACTTAGCCGTGTCTCTTCGGCTTTTCTACTCCAAAACGGGGTGCGCACTTGCGGGAGGAGCTGTCGCCCGGCTTAACACGCCTCCAAAGCCCGAGAAACAAAAGACTGAGAGGACTCGGGAGCAGCCCGCCTGTACTGTACCGTCTGATGGCCGCTGAGGCCCGAGAGGGGTGGGCGTGTGTGCGGTGCTCCGAGTGCCCAACTGTGGCGGCCAAGACTGGGAAGAGAAAGAGAGGGCGGGCATAGACACGAGGCTGAGGAATGGGGAGCAGTCTCAAAGGACCTTACACGCAACAGCCTATTGTCCCTCGTGGAACTTCACAATGAGATGAGCCTTGGCGTTGAACTCGAGTTACCCCCCCTCCCTGTACTTAAAGCCTCTCTCTCTCTCTCTCTCTTTCCGCCGCGCGTAGGAGTCGCCGGTGACCCGCAAGCACTCGGCTCGCCCGATCACTTTTGGTTTCATAAAGTGGCCGGCATTGGGTCCCCTATATGACTGTGGCTACGACGGCACGATATTGCTCATGGTTTCTGGGCTTGCTTGCTGGGTGTGAGGACCGAAACAAACTGGCTTGAAGGCCTGCCAGCTCAAGGTTCGCCTCTGACAAGTCTGTGCGGCCCCTTCCGGGGGTAGGAGTGATCCTGTTCCCCCTGTCTGTGCTTGTAACCCCCTTCCCCAACACCCAAACCTCCTACACCATCACCATGACAAATCTGGCAGGCTGCACCTCCCCAGATCGTCTACATGTCGACTGTTCCGACCCGTGCACGATACAACGACACATGACTACTCGGCGTACAAGTCAGTCAGCTTGCAGTACGATCACCCTACTTCTGTCCACATTTTTGCCTCAGGAGCTCCACTCCCCAGCTTTCAGACCTGCTTTGCATGCCCTCACCGGCCTCCCCACCTTATCCCGAACAGAACCTCGTGCGACACTGCCTTACCTGCCACCCCTGAAGCCTGTATCTACTGTCGCCGGTGCGGTGCGGGCCACGGAATCGAGCTCTCAGCGACATTGCTCCTGTTCCAGTTTGAAATGCCATCCCGCGCAGCTCCCCGACTTTACATGGAGGTACTCAACAAGCATAGGCGAGACGGCCAGCCAGGCAAACCCCCTAACCACAACTTAGTCGTCCTTGTCCAGGAGCTTGGGTTGGTGCAGCTGCGGCGTCACCTATCTTTGGGCTCACTTCCGCTGGTGTGCCGAATCTGGTAGCCCCGCTACAGTACTGGCCGCCGGTTGCCCTTCCCCTTCTCCGTATCCTTCGCTGCGGCTCTTCCCCCGGTGCCAGGGGCGTGGGAGCGAATGAATCCCGCATCGCCCGCAGCAAAGGAACCGGGAGCCGGAATTCGCCGGAGTCGAGCTTTAGCAGCATGCATGTGGTGGGGGTTGGTGGTCTGCAGAACTGGGATCATTCTGTGGTGGTGCGTTCTTCTTGCTGGGCCATGCATCTTCGGAGCTGCTGCTGCTCGGCGGCCGTGGCGGCCTGGCCTTGTTGAGGACTAGCAGTGTCGAGCCCCTCCTGTGTTGGCGGATGAAGAGCTGTCCCTGGCGGAGGAAGAGCTGTCCCCGGCACCACTAGAGTAGAAGGAAAAACCTGTCCCTCCCTGGCCTTGCCGCCTGCTGCTGCGTTCAAAGGCTGTGTTGTTCGTTCCGTGGCGGGTGGTTGTGGTTGCGCCGGTAGTATGCCACCCCTCGGGCCAGCTTTCACATCCCCCTTGGGCAGCTTCCCCCTGTTGCTGCGCTTGGTATGTGGAGGTGTCGGCTTTCCGGGTGAGCAATGGCGGGATTTCCCTCCAGGCCATGAGCATATAGTGGGCTCGGGGTTGCCAGGGATCTTCCACTCGAGCGCCTCGCTGATGGCCGCAATTTGGCTGGGGGGAAGACCAGGCTGCTTTATTTCGCCGTCTTAAGCGCATGTCTGCTAGCTGCTAGCCGCCCCCGTACCCCGATGGCTTCTTCACGAAGCTTGATCCCAGCTTCTTCCGTCTTGTCAAAGCCAGGGTTAACGCTGTGGCTCTCTGTCCCCCCCTGATCTGGGTTCGCCATGGTAGAGGCATGCAGTCCCCCCCGTGGAACCAACCCATGCGGACGCGAAGCCCACCTTCTCGCGCCGTATGGCCGCCTATCTTATCCCGCGAACCCGCGTAGCTTTTGTCGGGTCCAATCTCAGCCCCCATGAACAGAACTTCTTCTCCCAGCCAGGCCAAAGGTGAGGCAACGTCGGTCGACAGCGGCAGTTGTGGCGGCCACGTTCTAGCCCCCGAGGCTGACGAAGAAGGCGTTCCATCGCCCCCGCCATTCAACTACTTCATCAAGTGGGAGCTGCATCCCCCACGGGTGCCCCCTCTTGTGCCCTGGGAGCCCTGTTGGGGGACATCGTCTGGCTGGAGCTGCCGGGTTGCCTCCTCCCGGGCTGTCCCCCTCCTTCGCCCCCCGTCGCTGTCCGCAGTGGGGCGAATGCTTTTGCAAGTAATTGCTCAAAATGCTTCCTATCCCTTTCGTATCTGGCTGCTGCTTTGGTTGTCTGGTATGTCTGGCCTTCATCTGCCGGGGTGGTGCTCCCCCTGTCCCCTCGGAGGGGGCGGTGTCGGTCATCATTCCAGGACTTGTCCGGTTTGTGCATGCCTCTTGCTTTGAAGGCGGCTTGGATCTCCGATTTCGTCGCTTTGTTCTTGCCGCGCCTCCCCTCGGCATTGCCCCGCTCCCCCTGGCCTGCTGGCTCTGTGCGTGGCGGATTGCTGACTGGCGTGCTCCTGCTGGTGGCACCAGTAATTGCATAGCTGGCGCTGAAAAGTCGACGGCGGACTCATGAAGGCTAAGGACCACCTGCTAATGCCGTAAAGTATGCGATAACGAAGAAGAATGACCGTGCTCAAAAGACACGTGCTTGTAGTCAGTCATTTCCCCCGCATATGCAAGAAAGGTAATGGACTGTCCAAAGCTGCAGTGTACATATGTTTCTCCGCGCATCCGAGTTCGTGCTTGCTTGCTCATCCGAGTTTTTGCTTGCTTGCTTGCTTGCGAAGGGGTATGGGTTCTCTCTCTCTCTCTCTCTCTCTCTCTTTCTCGTGTTCGCTCTCCGCGAGGCTAGAGTGTGCAGATGCCTACAAACAACAGAAGGCTGTGGTGCAGCAGTCAAATCTGAGCACCTTGGATCCCTTCGGCTTCAATCCTCTACTCTCTACACATCTCTACACTCGACAGCGCCTCACAGCAAGCCGCTAGCGTAGAAGCTACTGCGGCCTATGAACATTTCGCACCGAGCCCCGGGGAGGTAGGGTTTGAGACATCCCCTGTGGACTTCCCAACAGGTAGAGGCGAAAAGGTTCTTGTGATTCAACCCGCATCGGCAGGTAAGACGTCGCTTCATTGGTGCCCTTCAGGGGATGTTGGGGAGCAGCTCAATCCCGCTGGGCCTTTCGTTGAAAATTGTCGGTCTGACGGTTTGACAACAAGCAAAGCAGGTTTCGCACTGGCTGCTGGTCACAACCCGAGTGGTTCTTGCGACATTGTAAATCCCGGCAGCTCGTGGATTGCAACTCGAGCAAGGTTCCCGTGGAGATCAACCGGAGCTCTTCGGTTCTGTGTGCCCGTCTGTGTGTCTTCCTCACTTCCGGCCGCCCGACGATGCCGCCTCACCTACTGTTTTGCCCGGTGTTCTCGTCATTAGACTCATGTGACATCTCGCAGCATGACATGGATAGTACATACAAACGGCAGCATGCCCGACCCCTCGTAGCCTAATTACACAATTAAGAGCATCATTTGCGCAGGCTGGTTGCCAGGGCCAGTGCTGTCTCCCAGCGAGCGGTGCGCTCCTCAAGCTTGCTGCTACAGTCGTTCTGCTGCCAAGCGATTCGACGGGCTTCTTCAAATGCCAGCACTACAACTTACAACACATGCCTGCCTCCCATGCTTCAGGGAGCAGAACAAGCATGTCTTATGTCGTGATGCCTCGCAGCCAAGCGTCCAAAGCACCGAGAGCAGCGCAGTACACAATGCTGTCTGCTTCGATGTCCTTCTCAAATGGACACCGGGACCCTCGCACAGCATGGGCATCATGGAAGGCATTGCTCGCTTCCGAGACCCATGTTCTGTCCTGATCTGTGATGCCCACGAGAGCGGAAATTGCGGCTTCCCATTGGCTCTGACGTGCTCTGCTGGCAATAATTCTCCTAAGCTCCCCTTCGCCAGAGGAAAGTTGCAGGCTCAGGCTGCACATCTGCGGTTCGACTTTCTTCACCGATTCGATTGCGGCAGTTCTGGCATCTGCTACGGCACTGCGCGGGTTATAGCCAACAAATCCTGGCGTCGTGCTGTGCCGGAGAACAGCCCGAGATCGCCCATCGGGAGCAAACCTTGGCTCATCATTGCTCATCTGAACTTGTAGGATTCGCTTAAAGAACATTGGCTGAGGCCTGAGATAAGGCGCCAACGAATCCAGGTGCGCGCGGGACATGCAAACTCATCACGCCGGCGAGCAACCAACAGGCGACAGATGCTGTTTGCAAGAATCACGCGGACAACAAACAAAACGACTGGCTGGCGTGCGTGATGTAGCAGAAGCAGCCATTTTGCCAAGTTTGTACTGTAACTGAAACGGACTGTCTTCGGAGACTTTGCGGGGAACTGACTTCATGAGTTTTGCCAGTGCTCGGCTTTGCTGAGAAGGCAGCTTGCAAGGTAGGGCAACCGTAGGAGTTGAAGATCGAGCCACTGAGCATGCTAGAAAACTCCGATAGCCACCATGGCTGTGCTTCCCATCTCCCTCAAGCACAGCAAGAGGCCCGAGCCGAGGAAGGTCTGGAGCACCTCCTGCACCCGAGCGGACTCACTAGACGCCACACATGCTAGACCTTGCAATCTCAAGGCAGAGGCGCAACGGCTGTCATCCCGGAGTCCAGATCTATCAACACGGCAGCCGTGATTCCATGGCCGTCTCTGGCATGAACTCTGCCGAACTTGCGATGCAGTTTCAGCACATCTGGCAGCCTGGGCCCGGGGCCTGCCTAGGCCCAGCAGGGCCTAGGCCTAGCTGTCAAACGACCATGTCAAACCTTCGCCTTCGAACCGGATGCATCGCACGCCGGCCCGCGAAGTTGCACACGACACCAGATTGAAATGTTCCTGTGCATGCAGCCACAGCTTTCTGCGGATAGTCGTGCCGTTTGCGCACAGGAGATATGATGCAAACCTCCTTGAGGTTGGGAAGGGATGGGAATCTGAGCAAGGACTGCGCATCGAACTCGTTAAGAGGAGGCTTCGCCGAACTCAAAGGACGCCATCCGCCATCCAAAATGTCTTCGTCCGGCCAGTCCTCCGGTTCTGCACAGTTGCACACTAGGATAAACCTCAAGCTGGGCTTTGCAAGGAGCTTTTTGAGAAAGCTGCGGATTCGCTGTGAAGACCAGTGCTGGAGCACATCCTTCAGTATGTAGAGCTCTCCATCTTGAATCTCATCCACATTCGAAGAAAACTCCAAATGTTCAAAGTTAAATCCTTGACATGTCCACCGCGCGCGGTTCTCTGCGATCACGGGCAGCACCACATCATACCCCACGTAATCTACTCCAAGATCGTGGTATATGTACGGTGAGAACTGCCAGTCGCCGCAGCCCAGGTCGACAACCTTCTTAACCTGATGCTCCTTGATGAACTTCCGCAAAAATTCTATCCTTGCTCGGAGAAAGACCGACAGCTCTTCGGAGAAAGACCGACAGCTCTCGACAAAGGACTGCTGTGACAGGCCTACCCTCAGAATGCACCAAGCATCCACTTCAGACAGTGTACAGGCAAACTGCCTGCGCCTGAGCCCTTGCCCCAGGCACCCGTGGCATAGATCTGCGTAAACGTATCTTCCAGGCTCAATCCTTGGCTGCATCGTAAATGCTTGCCCATAATGGACAGCGCGACAGCTTTCGGCCCAGTTTAGTCTTGCCCTTCCACGCCTTGCAGTGGCTCCTTGGGACTGTTCTTGTTAATCATCTTCTCGGACCCGGGCACTTCTCGTGAAATGCTGCTGTTGCATGATAAGTGGCCGCTGTACGACAGGCCACGAACAGCATCATTCAAAGGATACTTCTGACAAGACATGGCTGTGTCAGATGCATCACTGTCAATGCCTTCATAACTCTCGCGTTAAAGTCCTCTGCTCTGCATACATGCCTACATTTATTGCATACACACAAGCAGAAAGCTGTGTGTGATAGTACATGTTAGTACACAGAGTAGTAGGTACTCAAATAGTAACCAGGTCGATGCGTGCTGTCTGACCGGCGGGCGCTACAACTCTGAGACATGAAATCCTGCACATTGGGCTTGCGGGCAGTGCTCTTGGATTCTACAAAAGAGGGGGCTTCGGGCTGCGCAGGATCATGCAAGCAGTGCATGGACATGCAACGCTGGATACCGAACACGGCGCCTCTGAAGAGTTGGAGTCGCTTAGCGACTGAAGCAACTCCCTCAGCCACACTTTGTCGAATTTCTGAATTCCTGTGCGCTTGCCACTGTTCTGGATACCTTCCAAAACCGAAAAGCCAGGTGCGGCACTCTGTGCTCCATATGTCTGCGGCACTGGCATTTGGAGCAATGACGTCGGTCAGCGGTGCAACCACCTGACGAAGCAAGTTGGCCTATGTTGGCATGCCGAGATTTCGCGGCAACGATGTCAGGATAAGACCATGGCTTGAAGCTTTAGCGTGAGTAGGACTGTTGTATGAACGATCTCGCACAGACTGACGCGACAGCAGGATGCGCCAGCCTGGCCTTTGTGTGTGCAGGTTTCCCACCTGTGCGGCCAGAGTGTGTGCCGCGTTTGCAAGTCGTGCTGAGCTTTATGCATGCCACTTACGCACGCGACGCTTGGTCACAGTGGCCACAGTTTGCTGCGCGGAAGGGAATCTCAGAGGCCGGAGCACGTAATTCACCTGCTGACTATGTACACTCATGTACAGGTATAGCTTACCCTCCACCGTGCAGTCCAGTCCCACCGCCCGTAAGGAGGAGAAGAATTAGAGAAGGCGTGCATGCGTTGCATTGCAACAATTTGAAGACGGTCAGGGTGCGAATTTGCACTGGCCTCTCATATCTGTACATCATGGGCGCAGAGAAGAAGGCAAAGGTTGCTGTACACGGTACAATCTGTACACCAAAAGAGGCCGTCTCAACCCTCAGCTTCGAGGATCCGATCGGTCACACGGGTCTGAAGGCCCCGAGACCCAAGCGAGTCCTGCGAGGACCTCCAGGGCGTCAAGCTTCGCAGGCTCCTTACATGCACGAACGATACCGGAAAACGGCAACCGTTTGTCGAAAACCCTTGGCACTTAGGTGTAGCAAAGGCTCCAAGGCTCAAAGCCGCGCTGACATCACGACGGGAATTGCACGGTGGTATATGTTGGAAATGGCCCTCCTTCGCTTCGGAAGAAGACATGACAGCGCAAACGGTACTTGTAACAAAACGAGTACAAGCAGCTCGAGCTGTGAAGTGGTTGCGTCGATTGCACCTGGCCAAACTCAAGAGTGCAATTGGCAATCGGTGTTCTAGGCAGCGGCTGTCAACTTTGCTGGCTGACGCAACTTGTCGATGCCAAATAAACCCAGGCGGAACGTCTGAAAGTCTGATGACTGCGTGAACTCGTCTACCATCAAGGGCCTTGGCTTGAGCTGTCCCATGATTTTGACAATAGAGATGAAGTCGGCTCAACAAGCGAAAATGAGCTTTAAGAATCGTGATATGGAGGCAGCGTTCGGCCAAGAGCAACTCCCAGCTTTGCCATAACAAGGAGCACTCCAGCAGCGATCTGGATGCCCAACGCAGCGAATTTGGCCTGGGGCGCAAAGCTGCTATGATTCGACTGGCCTTGCTACTCAAGCAGTTAAACGCCTGTGCATGAGGGATGGACAACATGGCAGGCTGCCATACGATGCGGCCGTAATCTCAAGGTCCAATTCCGAGGAAGTTACTGCAAGTGCCGAGGTGCTCCAGACTTCATGTCTGGATCCTTCGTGTAGGCGACAATGACACCGGGGGCCGCATATCCTTCCGCAGCTACGCTCTTGAAGCCTGCATCGAGGAGAAAAGAGAACAAACGAAGCCAGCCAGATCAAAGAAATTGGCTGACCAAGCTTGGTACCGTAACGCTTCAGCATGTTACGCACGGCATCCTTGGATGCGACAGATCGTCACGGCTTGACTTGTCTGCTACGGTACGGTGTTACGTGCTGCGGACAGGCTGCCCCTAGCTTCACCTGCTCCCGCCGTGCTCGCTCAAAACCATAGGCTGCCAGCTCCTGTTGCACGTCACCTGAAAACACTCAGCTGTAGAAAAACTGGGCTCAGGCCGGAAGGCATCACCGAATGAGTAAGCATGCAGCGAAATCTGGTGATGGCATCTGTGGGCATTGTAGTGTGATACATGTGGCCGCCATTCTCGTAGGCCTGCCAGCACGGCCCGTGATGCAAATTCTGCGGCTTCGCTTTAGATTAGCGAAAGCTGTTACAATATCCATGAATTCCACACTCCACGAGCCAGGCAGAATGCGTAATCAGTCTAGGTCAATTCAAACTGCAGCTTCTCAAACCGTTCATGCCTGCCTATAGTCTTGCAACGTCTTGCATGGACGCCGACTGCCTCCATGACGGCGGCCCACCTTCTCAAATCCAGCGCGAAACTTTCGCTGCTGGTGTTGTCCAAATGGTCCCGCGCCCGCCTTAGCGGTGTCTAGGCCTTTCCCGCGCTCACACTCGCGAGGTTTGTTGGTGCGCCGGTCGGTTGATGTGAGCATGGTGAAACTTGAGCAAAACCAGATCCGCACCAGATGTGCTACATCGGTGACCTACCGTTCTTTCGACACAAGCTGCCCCAAGATTCAGCCATGCCGCTTGCTGAGAAGAACGATCCTCAGGGACAGTCAGTCCCGACATCATGGGAAGTCTTGACCTTTAAGTTATTAACCCTTAGCTTCCCTTAGACCCGTGGCCTTTGAGCCAGCTTTGCCACCCGCCCACTAGTAGCTGACAGTCCGACTCAGGAATGTTTGTCAACAAGAAGTCAGTCACACAAGATCAAAACCGGTCACTTCGTCGTTGCCACAAAACATGATCGCATACACGTTTCATAGCAGCACTCAACAGGCAATTGTGCCGGAGCTCTGAGTTAATCAGCGCTGGCAGAAGGGCAGGCTAAAGTTGTGGCCAACAGATAGTGGACGAGGCTGCGGCTTCGACGCGCCGAATTTGGTGGTCTCGGGGATCCGCGAAAGCCTAACTCGACTTTTCCTTCCCGGCTGAATGCATCAAGTCAGCTTCTCTAATACCTAGTGCTGCTTTGTCCATAGCTCGGCTCTCCGCAAAGGGGCGATAGCCCGGTAAAAGCCTGTTCACAAAAGAGGCTGCATCACAGTACCTCCGTATCGCTGCCTTGACTCGTTTCAACAGGCTTCGTGTCAATTGGTCCACATCTCCGCGAAGAAAATTACCAGACCAGCAATGTCGACAACTCTGTAACAAACGCAGTTGTGACAGACGGAAACATCTGATAAATACAAGCACCACACTGTCGTAACACGGCACTGAATCTGCTGTTGAAGTTCCCCGACGATGCTGGACCCGACCAGCCCTTCTGCGGCGCATTTATCAGCACGTCCACACCAAGCTTCTGCATGTCAACCTCAGGAGTTTTTAAATCATCCATCGCGACCTCGCCTGCTTTATGCACTCCCTCCACACCACTGCGTGTAAGGCTCCCAGATGCATCCAGATGCGATGCAGTCCTAAGCCGGCGGCACTTCCGTCGTCTCTCACCGCCAGTCGGACAAACTCACAGAACGACTCGCAGGTGCAATCTCGCAACTGATCAGTTGAGCTGCGAGAACAAGAAATCCCCCAATGCTGTGGACCGCTTCTGATACGGCTTGTATATACTCGTCCTGGTGACCACACCAACGGAACAAGCAGCTGTCCCTGACTCAGAAGGCTACCCAATCATGTCCACAGATGATCTGCCGCGGAGGCGCCGGCAGCATGATACCAGCTGATGTCTCCACATGCGGTGCAAAGACTGTGTCTGGACCTGAGTCAGCACTTCTCCTGCTATTGAAAGTGAATATTGGATGCAGCCCTGTGCTGCCCCGTGCTGCGCTTGTGACAATTTCGGCAAAGGGCGCTCCTCTTCGATGACAGAGAGGACTTCTTGAAGAGGGGGTGGCGCGTAAGAAGGGGACGAGTTTGCCATTGACACGCTTGGATCCACAGAAGGCCGGGCCTTGAGCACCCTCTCCGTTGCCTCACTCGGACTTTCTGGATTTTGCACATGACAGTGCATGACATTGCATTGCTGCATAGTTCTTCACTCACCTACGCACCTACTTGCAGCCAAGATCACAGGTAGAGATCCGGCTTCAAAGATCTGGGACCACCGATATGAAAAATATCCATTGCGAATAACAAGGCACTTGCGCTTTGTTCCAAAATGACGGGCGACTGCCTGGCGGTGCCGGCAATAGTCCAGAATAGCGTGTAGCGGCTTGGTACATGCAGGCCCGAAACCAAAACTGAAGGTTGAAGCCTACGCCATATTCAATATCCGTCCGCATGGGCTTTCCCACACGCTAGCACAAGTTGTGCAATGCTCTGACTGCGCATTTGCGTTGAAACTGATGGCACCGGGCCTCCATCGCAAACGTCCCCGAGCCGGGTAGCAGAACGGCCGAGTGTGCGTTGTAGACAGTTTTGAGAGTGGTGGAGACGTCTCGCATCACCTGCTTCGGCAGCGTAAGTGCAGTGTACGTGCGGACGAAAGCTGCCCAGCAATCGCCCAGTGTCCGGCCTTCTGAAACTTGGTCGACATGTGGTTCAGGGCCTACGGCGCGTGGTGCGTAAGTGTAGGTGTACGAAAGCATGCCTGGAATCGCCAGGGCCCTCGGGCTCTCTCCGCCCGTTTGCAATGCGAAGGAGGTGTGTACATTCCGAGCGCTGCACTCGGCTGGTGTACACCACCGAAAACTCCTGCACGAAGTCACGTGCACTGACGCAACCCACAAGACCAACCAAGTCAGAATTCTAACTTCGAAAGGAGAGATGAGATCTTTTCGATAGGCTTTGAACTCTTTGACTAAGGCTACGAAGTAAAGGTGCAAATTCCGAGCTATGACATCCTTCAAGTTTCTTGGGTTTGCCCCTTTCGCCAAAATTTTCCATAGGCAAGCCAAAGTCAAAATTTAGAGGAGGAAGTTTCGAACTTCACCAAGCTGCCTCCAAACTTCCACGCAAACTTCATCAACCTGCCTCGCAAAGTAGGATCGGGGAACTCTGCTGCCAGATATATCAGATCCACAACACAAACAACCAAAACTGAGGAGGTTTGCCTAGTTAGTCTGGATGCTTTACCCGTTTCACTTTGACATCGTTGTCGAAACTTGCCAAAAAATTCAAAATCAGTTTCCCCCACCACGACTCCAAGGTATTCCAAGGTGTCGTGGGTACTTGGTATGTTGGTCGCAACCGCCGGTCTCTCAGAGTTCGGAGAATCCAGGAATCGGAGAGAAACGTGGCATGGACTAGTCGGAAATGTAACATGAACTGCGAGGATCTAGACATGTCAATAGTCAATAGATACACGGATGCACGAAAGCCCCGCATTTTGCGTGACTACTGACAGTCTGGGATGGCGGAGCACACCTTCCACTGCACTCTCCGGCAAGGAGAACAAGGACGTTACTGCCTATCCTGGGCGATTTCTGCTTGTTCCGCTTCGCAACTGTCCTCGAAATTACAAGTGTGTCTGCAAAGGCTTTTTCGCGAATGGTTGCGCCGTCATGCAGGATTCAAGCTTTGGTTCCCAGGCAACCGTACTCCGGTTCTCCGGACCCAACACCTCAGCCGTTCCGGATGGAGATGAGATTCTGCAATCGTGTGAGATTGGAGAATCTGCAGGCAGTGCCACAGAGGAAGGATGCGCCAGCATGAGCGGTGAGGTCTGCAGTGGATGCTTGACAGAACCGTGGCACCTGTTACCGAATCACTGAGACTCCTGAACTTTGACAAGTCCGGCCATCCTGGGTCCCACTGGGTCCCAGTCCTGAAGTGTATCGTGCTTGTGCTGACCGTCCATCAGGCCTGGTGACCTGGTGGCTATGAGTGCAAGGATCAGCGAGCCACTTGTATGACAGGGGGCCCATGGCCTGCGCGGAAGAAGCCGTGTGCAACGAAGGCTTGTGCCAAAATATATATAGCTGCGATGAGCAGTTGAAGGACAAGCAACCATTGGAATTAGAAGCAGTTTCATGCAGCTTCGCATCCTGTGCCTTGTTGCCGGTCACGTGCCCACAGAGCAGATGAGCTTGCCTCCAACCAGGTACCAACACCAGCCAATGTTGTTGCCGGGCCGACCTTGCCTCAACAAATTCAAAGACTTCTCGGTCAGATTCTCCCACACCTGGCGGAACCTGGCCATCCAAAACACAGTGCGGGGAGCATGAGTCTGACACTCAGGTGCCTCGCACAAGAGGTCCGAAAGCCACTTCTGGCTGCTCTGCTCTTGACCGTTCAGTGCACCTTCTGCGCTTTCAAAAGACACGGAGCGACGGAACGACGGCCGAGGGATGGGCCGTTCCCCGCGTCTTCGGCTTCGACCTGCAGCGGCCCGGCGGCGCGGCGGCGCGGCATGTCCACGTCTGCCCGTCTACCCGATGCTATGCTGATGCCTCCCATGGCGTGGAGTGCAAATAGAAAGACCTTGGACAAAGTGGAGATCAGCAAGGGTCGCCTACACAGAATGCCTGCTGGACTCAAGACTTACCGAGCATTGCCCACGGGCCCGACGGTGCGGTAACCAAGACACAGGAGAGCTGCAGCAATATCAGATGCTGAGCCTTGCATTCGCCGAACGGTTATTCATAATGCCACTCGCAAGGAATGTCTCAAGCACCCCAAGTTATATTTGGGCTGCAGCGGTGGTGAACATCTGGCCATGTGAGCACCTTTCAGCTGGTACTGAATCGATGTGTCAGGCTGCAGGTGAACCTCCATTCCCCATCGGATGCAGCAGTTGCCCGTCGCGGGAATTCCAGCCAAGGTCTTGACCGCAATGCACCGAGCGAAGAAGTGAACCTCGGGCGGGTACTCAGAGACAAGGAAACCGCCCTCGCACACCCGCTAGCTCAGCTGACATCTGCCATTGCTCAATGTTGCACTCAACCCTCCGACCTTCAGCCACACACCAAGGACCAAGACCACTAAGGCTGGCTAAGCAAGTTTCGCCGGCTTAAATGCTGAAATCTGCATCCGTGCTGAACAGAATGCCTGCTTTGCACCACCTCTGCTTCATGGCTAAACGAGCAAGTCGCAGCGTTCCAAAACATCACAACAAACGATATCCGAAACCGCCGTGCAACAGCTCAGCTCTTGGGACATAACGCCTCGACAACCAGCTCCTGCAATCGCTTGAAGTTTCGCCGATTCTGGAAAGAAAACTGACCGCTTAATGCAAGCATGTCAACCCAAGCTTGGGTCACCGGAACTTCGCGAGAAAGGCAAAAGTTGACCATGCCCCACCTCGAAGTTCCGGCGTGCAAGGTCGCGAGGCTGATGGGACTGATGATACTCCCTAATGGTGAACATGGCATGAGACTTAGCCTCACGCAAGACTTTCCAGGACAGGGCCCACACCGAGGTTGTTGTCTCACCTTCCCAGTGACCAGAATTACCTGCACGCAACCTTGAGGCACGGAGGGCCTGTCAGAGTCGGACCACGTGAGTCCCTCGTCAGTGCTCCGGTGACCTCCATTTAGATCTCTACCCAAGAGCAGGGTGATTTTGCAGAATGATAACCGACGCTCTCTACTGCGGCCGAGGGTGTATGCAGGCGCACGCGGTTGAAGGAAGGAATGCGTGCCGCGAGAAAGTTCCCGACTCTGCCATGCAGAACGCGGCAGCCCTAGCTCTGGAACTGCCGTGGTTGCCCGAGGCTATGTCGGAGAGGCAGCAGGAGGCGGAGCAAGAGGGATGCCAGAGCGTGCTGGAGAGAGCAAAACAGGGCGGGGGTGGGGAGAGCAAGCGGTAGCTCGGCAGCACTTGGCAGGTAGGAGACCGCAACGTGAGCCGACCAACTAATCAGGCCAGGCAAGAAAGACAACGGGCAAAGCCCACGTTCTTACCGCGAAAGCACTAAACGAGGTCAGAGTGCAAGGGCAATACAACTGAGCTAAGGGAGCAGCAATCAAGGAAAATATGAGCAACAGCAATCGCCATGGTGCCGTTTTGGCAGTGGCTGCACATGGCCTCAACTCCTGTTAAATTTGCGTTTGGCTGTTGGCATCCTGAGGCATGGCCATTTGGCATCGCGGTTTTCACCTGTTGCCTCATCACCATTCTCGGTATGCCCGAGACCTCAATTTTGCGCATTGCCATCAGCACACCTTGCCTCATCGCTGTGCTCTTGGCACCCATCACTTTCAGCTGGCACGCCTTGCATCGCCCTTTCGGTTTCCATATACTCCAAAGCCTGGCGATGCCGTAGTTGGGAGCCAAAAAGTAGTGGTAGTGGTAGGGGTAGTGATTGCCGTCGTCGTCGCCGTAGTCGTGGTCCAAGTCGTGGTAGTGGCGGTATGTGGCAGTAGTAGCGGCAGCCGTAGCAACAGCAGCAGAAGAAGCAGCAGTAGAAGGAGCACGGGAGTAGGAGTTGGGGTCTTGGTGGTAGTGGTAGCGATGGTGGTGATGGTAATAGTCGTGGGGACATGGTAGTGGTTGTAGTAGGAGTTTGTAGTGTAGTGGTGGTGATGGAGCAGCAGCAGCAGCAGCATTGCTTTCATGGGAAGGGTCGTCGCCCCGCCTCGGGGCCGGGGCCCGCCGTGCATCTCACTATCAGTAGTGCATGTGCTAGGCTGGCACCCTGCCTGGAACATCTGGCAAGAGGCCGGAATCCTGTCCAAATGGGCCAAGGCAACACCGGCCACACTGCACATTTTTCGAAACTTGCGGCCTCATCAAGTCGACCAACGCCCGGACAGCCTGGGCACAGTGGATAAGTGTTAGATTTCGACTGAATAGCGCACCGGGCTTTGTGACTGAAGGCTTCGTCATATAGTCTGAATGTTGGTAAACCGGACTGTTAACAGGGTGCACGCAGAACAGCTAGTCTTGAGGGCTTGGACTGCCACCGCTACTGCCACTGCCACTGATGTTGGGGCTACTGCTACTGCTGCTGCCACCAGCACCACCAACAACCAAAAACCACCAAAAACAAGCGTAACAATAATTTACAACAACACGAAGACTAAGAACAAAATTGAGGAGGATAATATGACAACAACAACGACAACACCAACAGCAACGACAAGAACACCAGCAACAACCACCACCACCAACAACAACAACAATGGCCCCCAATAGGCCAACAGGCAACAACAACAAACAACAGCAGCAACAACAAGCCAAGAACAAGGCATGCGCGCCTTTCGCCGCCGCGAATTGTATATATGATCCCGGTTCGGCCGGCCCCCCCCCTTCCCCCCCCCAATGGTTCCTCCTCCTCCTCCTCCTGTGGTGTGGTGTGGTTGTGGGTTGCTTCCCTCTCCCTGTGGTGTGGTGTGGTGTGGTTCGGGAGTGGGTGTGCTTAGGCTGGTTACCCCACTCCCCCCTGTGGTGTGGTGTGGTTTGGGTTTCCTGCGTGGGTCCGCTGTGGTGTGGTGTGGTTGTGGGTTGCTTCCCCTTCCCTGTGGTGTGGTGTTGTGTGGTGTTGTGTGGTGTGGTGTGGTGTGGTTCGGGAGTGGGTCTGCTTAGGCTGGTTGCCCCACTCCCCCCTGTGGTTTGGTGTGGTTTGGGTTTCCTGCGTGGGTCTGCTGTGGTGTGGTGTTGTTGTGGGTTGCTTCGCCCTCCCAGTGGTGTGGTGTGGTTCGGTGGGTCTGCTTAGGCTGGTTACCCGACTCCCCCCTGTGGTGTGGTGCGGTTTGGGTTTCCTGCGTGGGTCTGCTTGGCGTGTGAGCCCTCGTGTGGACACACAGATTCGGCTTGAGAGGCGTGGGGGGAGGGGGGGGGGGAGATACCATTGGGGGGGGGGGGGGGGGTCGGTGAACCGAGAACCGGGATCATATATCGATTAAGTTTTGGAAGGATGCCGAGCCCAGATGAATGCGGAAGTGGTGAAAACACCGGCAAGCGCAGTGTTTTCGAGATGTTGATGCAACTTTTACTTTTTGCGTTTAAGTGCCAGACCTGGTTGAGGACACAACATCCATATAGAAAAAGCAGGAATTCAGCGGTCTGCGTGGGGTTTTGTGGCATTGGCAAAGGTGTCGATTTGTGGACGAAAGCGCGGCGCGAAAATGTGTAAAGCAACAACCTGGCGAAAAGTTGCTTTTCATCTCTTACTTCAAGGGTTGACGTAGGTAAAGGTTTAGGTTGAATGCTTGCTTGCTTGAGATCTTGGGATTTGGGGCTTAAAGGTGCAGGAGTTGAGGCTGTACACTGCATCGGATCAACTTCGTCGGACTGAAAAGATTCAGCAAATTCACCGGATTGAAGATTTACGGTTGTATGCGAATCATATATACAATTGTAGGTTTCGGGGCTGAGGGCTTCGGGCTTAGGGTTACCCCTCCTCCTTTGCCCTCCGGTCCACGGTTCCTCTTGGTCTGTTTGAAGAGGGGGGCTGCAGAAGGCTTCGGGGCCCAGGGATTAGGTTTTAAGGCTTACCTCTTCCCTTTGTCCCACGGTTCTTCGGCTTTTCAAGAGTACAGACAGCGCAGAGTCGAGCTGGGGAGTCTTCTCGCCCAGCCATATGCCATAGCAGCGTCGGCTGAAGGAGCACACGCCCAGGATCCTCGCATCTCTTCGAACCTTTGTCTTGAGGCTAGGAGGACGTTGTGTAATGCATGCTGGAAGCAGTTTTCTTCCACAGTCTGGGAGTCCGTCGTGTCCAGGGCAGGAGGCCGGGAAAGGATGCCGTGAGCCATAGCAATCCTCGAGCACGGCTGCCCATTCTTGCCAGGGCGAGCGCCCGGCAGCATTCACAGCGAAGACAGAAGGCCTGTGACATCTTGGAGGTCGGCCGTGAGCCCGAGCTCATGGGGCACATGAATTGAAATCCGACATGCAGCTGCAGAGTGAAAGGCTCAGGGAGTCTTGCAAAGAAGCACGAACGACAACTGGACGCGGCGTAGGTCCGGACGTCAAAGAGCAGCGGAGCGAAGCCAGCACATGCACCGCTATATGGTCAGGATGCTGAGAGCGTCGTCTTGCTCTTGATGGCGCAGCACGTTCTGGCGGAGCACTGTCGCATCCAAGAAGGCCTGGCAAGAGGTCTGCGCCCAAGCCTCGACAAGGCAAATCCTAATGGTGTGTAGCCTGACAGATTGAAAATCAGCAAGGTGCGACACAAACCCCCTTCAACCCCTTGGAAGAGCCTGACACAAACGTCCTTGTTGGCCACGTCCGTGTAGGTGCGCTTCTGACCGCGCAAGCGAGGACACTGGAACTGCAGCTTGCTGTCGTAGGTACCACACCGACATTTCTGACTCTTCTGCGGAAGTTTCAACAAGCCTTTGCGACGAGCATCGTCCCACTTGCGCTGCATCACATGCACCTGGGGCCCGAACAGAAACAGGGGCCTGCTGCTGGTAGCAGGAACCTCCACAGACGACTTCAGGCGAGGTCGGCCCTGAGGCCGCTGGCGAGCAGGTCCTGTGTACTGCTCACGTCGCTGCGTCAACTATTAAAGGTCTGGGAAGGCCGGCAACGCCTAGGTAACAACCTGAACCAGAAGTACGCAAGCGGCAGCACAATAACGTAGGATAACGTAGGGCTAGGCTTGGGGTTGAAACTAGTCTTCGAACTGGCATCCCACCCCACACTGTCAAAGTAATGTGCCGACATGGGACAGCAGCGGAGCTCCAATGACCTGGTGGAAAAATTGCCTTCTCCAAACCAGCTAACACACCGTCTGCGCAAAAACAACGTGCAGGAGCAGTGAACAGTAGATACTATTACTACTGTAAAAACCGAAGGATTTAGACCTGCCCGAAAAACATGCTTCTGAAAACAAGCAAAAACACTGTGAATACCGTGATGTTCGCTTCTTGATGCGCAAAAACCTATGCAAATAGACTCTTAAATAGACACATTCCAGCAAGGGTCCGCACGGAACACCGACACGCAGGAGCAGTCAGAAGATGAAGAGAACACTGTAAATACCACGACACTTCCGCATGCAATTACCTCCCTTTCCCCCCACCCCCCCTCCCCCCCAACCCCCACCGGCGTGGGGTACAGTAGCAGACCCTCCATGGCGGCAAGAAGCGCGCATACCAACAACAACAACAACAACAACCACCACAACCACAACCACAACCACAACCACAACCACCAGCACCACCACCACCAACAATAACAACAACGACAACCACCACAACTGCAATGTAACGACAACAACCACAACCAGACCACAACAACACCAGCAACAACACCAACGACAGCGGCAAAAACAGCAATAGCAACAGCAACAAACAGCAACCGCGACAACAAGAACAATAGCAGCAGCAGGAACCAAAACCACAAGAACAAGAACAAGAACAACGTAATACAGCAGCATCAAAAGCAACAGCAACAAGAACAAGAACCACACCACCACCACCACCACCACCACCACCAACAACAACAACAACACCACCACCATCGCCGCCACCACCACCACCACCACCACCACCACCACCACCACCACCACCACCACCACCACCACCACCGCCACCGCCACCGCCCCCGCCGCCGCCGCCGCCGCCGCCGCCGCCACCGCCACCGCCACCGCCACCGCCACCGCCACCCCCACCCAGCCAACAACCAACCCTAAGAGAAAACAAGCAACACACAACGAAACAACATACAACACATAATTCGCAACAAGCATCAACCAACAACAATACCACCACCACCACCACCACCACCACCACCACCACCACCACCACCACCACCACCACCACCAACAACAACAACAACAACAACAACAACAACAACAACAACAACAACACCTCGTTTATTATTTCCGGTCGAAAGCCTGAAAATCTTGAGTCTTGTGTGGTTTTCGTGAAAAAGACTATGTTTCGGAGCATGTTTGTTTTTTTGCCAGTGTTTTGGTCTGTTTTTTTTGCGAACGTCTTGTTTGGAGAGCCCAGAAAGCACAAGGTTATTTGTATTGGTGTCGTCTTAAAAGTAACGTAGAAACAAGGGCAACAGGGAGCAACATTGCCAGTCATTGTTATGAGTTATGACCATGGGAATCGTCATCGCCTACCTTCCGACTAAGCAATCTACATGATTCAACATCATTCTACATCCCCCCTCCCCACCAAGGCACAGAGAAGAAAAAGAAACAGTACATGTAAGCCGCATTGGCATGGACGTCATCACAGCCCCCCCCTTCCCACCCCTGCACGGAGGTAAAATACATACACATGCAAATCAAAGCTGGCATGTGCGAAAAGTCGAGGGTCGGCACAGTGCTTCCCGAAAATTTTAGGAAAACACCGCAAAAACCGATGCCACATGCTGCTACTACTACTACTACTCCTACTGCCACTACTACTACTACTACTGCTACTACTAGTGCTACTACTACTGCTACTACTACTGCTGCCGCTGCCGCTACCGTAGTATTCGCACTGGCACACGTGCCAGCAGCACCGCCGCCACCACCACCACCACCTCCATCGCGGTACCGCTGCCACTACCACCACCACTGCGACGAGGACTACTACTGCCTGCTACTGCTACTGCTGGTACTTTCTGGTGCTTAACGGTATTTGCGGTTGGGGCATGCCGGGACGATGGAATTGTAAAAGCTGACTTGACCCACCAAGCCCAGGCAAGGATCCAACCAACCTATCCGACTCATCCGCATCAACCCCTTCTCTCGAACTTCACCATCTTAAAAGCAAAGCCGAACCTACGCACGAAAGCGCTTTGCAAAGGAAGCCCAGGAACCCACTCAAGCCTCCAACCCTTCAAGTAGCTGGGCAACGCGACACGACACGCATCGCGTTGATAGGGCTGTGGCAGAGGCCGTAGTCTCAGGCGTGAGGGCACGCATGGTTTCCTGCGCCCACATCTCAGCTCGACAACCTAATCTTGAATTCACTAGTTCGGGCCAGTGAGAACATGGGAGAAGACTGTGACCTGCACCTTTCAAGACACGGGGTTCTCCTGAATGTGCAGCAGCATCCCGTAGGCTAGTGGCCTTGCCGATGATGCAACAAGATGATCGTGCATCCCGCTTGCAAGCTGCCGGGCAGAGGCCAGACTCACTGCCCGCTGGGTCATGCACGCAAAGGCTTCGGGGCCCGCTTCTTCGGAAAAGTGGTTCAGCACCTTGCGCGAATTCGACAACTTCGTTGGCGAAGATGCAGGCGGAGGCAGGCTGAGTTGGAGGCCCGGCGGACGCCCTCGAAGGCGAGGGACACCGTCTCCTTATTCCCCCAAACACCAGTCTTTCATAAATGTCAGCAGTCAAATGGCCCAACACATTCCAGTTCCCAGAGGAAAGCACTAGGCTCGCGACATCCCACTGCTTCTCCGGCGTGTCTCGTGAATGATGCACGATCAGTTGGTTGTCGGTCCTCGACCTGGATGGACGCAAGGTCTCCTTCTTTCAAGGATCTGTTTTAGTGCTCAGCACATGCTTCAATTTTGAGTCTGGTGTCCCGGACGTGCCCCGCTGTCGAGCTTCACGTGCGGCATCCTGTATCTCTGCAAGGACCTGGCCAGGCCAAGGAATCGGCAAGTGCGAAAACACAGGTCTCGAATCTACTGGCAGATTCCGACAGACATCGCTCGTCACCCTACCTGTTTTTATCTGAACAGCATGTCTTCAATGGTCTCCATGTGGACAGGCTTAAAAAAAAATATTCATGATGATCGAGCCTGCGAATTATGCCTAGGACATCATTGCCATACTTTGTCATGTTGTCTGCTACTGTCTCCCTCACTCGTCTTCTGGCCTTCATCAGGATGTCCGACAAGCACCGCGAATAGCACTCGGTTCCCACCTATTGGTCAAGCCCCCATCCCGCGTATTGGCTTGCACTGGGGGCCGGCTTGATGCCTGCCTTGCGGCCATGGGACAGAAGTGCTGTCGACAGGCTCTTTACCTGAAGGAATCCGACTATGAGATGGCAATTCGACGAAGGGAACTTATGTGCGATCATAGCAGTATCCCGCCGACGCAACCCAATTGCGGACGGCTGGCTGAAAGCAAGCAATCGAAACAAAAACACTGCAACTGGTTTTGACAGCTTGTTTGCACAGAGCTGAAGCAGAGTGCCGGAACTGGCCGGACAAGTGCTGCAGCATCCTAAATTTTTAACTCACAGGCAAAGCCTGAAATAGCAACAGCATGAAGGATCGCAAGGATCCGCTGTAATGAATGTAAAGGAAACTAAGCTTGCGGCAAAGGATGCAGAACTTTATGCTCGGACAGACTCTGTAGTTACAAGTCATCTCGTAAGCATGCATTGTCTCAGACCAGCAGATGCTTCTGCACGCAATCGTCGCAGGCTCATGGCACCAATGGTCTTCTCAGTCAACTCACCCGTGAGACAGGACAGAACCATAATCTGTCTGCTGCAGTACAGACTGGCCAGTATGCCGCAGCCACGAGTGTATGAACTGCCACGTGGAGCTTCTGAAATGATATGACATTGCGTTTGTCTAGCAGTTCAGCATGAGTCTCACATCTAATTGTAAGCCCACAGCATGCAGCGGTAATTTTGCACCGGTCTGCTGACACGGTGTCCACCTGCTTCTGTTCAATCAGCCTCAGGTGAAGCGTCGGTGGCTGCCTCGGGAACTGCTGCGGAGGTCTCCTGCCGTCTTTTCAGTTGCAGGTCTCTTTACTAGCTTCCTGCCAGCTTCTGTGCAAATGCTGTCGCCTGGCACATTTGGCACCCGATTTACATATGATAGGTCCTGTAGCCTAAAGCATTGCAGACAAGTTCTTGCGCCTGCTCCTCGGTTCCCGATCTTGCGGTTGTCGCCTCTGGAGGTGTCTGGGCCGGCTCGGCAGGCTCAGCGTCGGCCTTCGTCGCCGGCACAGAAGCCGCGGAAGCCGGGGGTGAAGGGACAGGCTGCGAGTGAGATCCGCTCGCATCCGCGTCTTTGCGCAGTTTGGCAGGAAGCAGGTCCTGAATGGAGGCGCCTGCTGCCTTGCGACGGCCAATCTCTACATTTCGGGTGATGAGCTTGGAGACTTCCCAAGTTCTTCGAGAATCCACTTTCCACATGAGCTTGGTCAGCGCAAGATTTGTCTGGAACATGGCGATGAAGTTTTCCAACGCCTCCTCGCTGATTTTGTGATTCTGGTTCATGAGGTTCAGCGTCTTCAAGGTCTGGTTGGTCGCCAGGCCCTTGGCTATAGAAATCGCCCCACCGGTACTGAGATGATTCTGCCTCAGCCGACAGAGCGATTTCTCAGTTACCCAAGCGGATGATTGTTCCACCCTGGCAAGTCCTGCAACCATGAGTGAACTTGGAATCAGGCTCAGTTCAACTGGTACGAGCTGGGGTGCAAAGCTCAGCTTCACGTGCAGGGGCTACCAGCAAAGCGGACCATGTGCTCTCTATGCTTCGTCTATGTAAAGCCCAAGTGAGAGGCCTGGTCGCTGGCCTGTGCGCTCGAGTTCGATGGCTCGACGTGCTTGCGTGTGCGCGCGCGTCCGTGTTTGCGCCGGTACAGGGCCCGGGCATGGTGCACAATCATGCCCCTGGCCCTAGCAGCAGAATGGCCGACGTGCCAAATACAATCTCACCACATGCCGGCGATTGCCCTTGTTTGTCCATTCTAACGAGGTGTACATGCCTCCGCTCCCTCCAGTTCCATCACTTGTCAGTGTCAGATCAGGCCCCCAAGTCCACGGCGCATCAGCACAAAGGCACGAGCGCTTGTTTGGCTTTGCCCGAAATTCCATGCGTGCTTGAACTTTGTTTTCGGGGCTCCACTGGACTTGCCCTTGGCCCAGCATCTTGCACCACAACAAACAGTATGGCAGTATGCTTTGGTAGAGCACAAAGGGCAGGACTTCGTGTCGTGCGGTTTTTGTTATTGACCTTGTGTTGTGCATCTGGTTACATGGAGATTGGCAATGAAGGAACGCGGGATGACACTTGGCCAATTAACGATCGCTACTTGTCGAACGAGCAATATCTTCACTGAGCAGGAACGAATGATGGACTTGGCAGGCGAGATGCTGCAAATCCAACTCTTCAATGCCCTGGTTCACCGCGAGTGCAGCACCCAAAGCCTGCAGGCAAGTCTCAGTACGTGGGCCTACGCTTCTCAGGTCTTTCTCAGCGAAGCGAACCAGGTGACACTGTGGTGAAACAGGGCACGAAAGACTCGGATCCCACTGAATCCGACGATGTCACGTCCGCCTCTGCCCCAGCATCGGAAATTTCACACTCGCGCAAAACCAGAGTCCTGATAGAGTCAATTCAGTTCATGATCACGGAAGCTCTGAGGAGGCACAGCGGGGCACGGGTCGGACCTGATAACGGTGTTCTTCTTCAGTGATTCCGCCAGACTTCGCGTATTCTCCAGCGCCTTCCTGAATCATCTTCGCAGACAAGTATCTGAGACTGACATTATCTGAGCCTTTCTGCCTTTCGAGGCTATCTTGATCGATAAGCGACTGTACATGCTAGTTTTCCGCTGAAACCAAGAACTGGAGAAAGTATTCCCGTACACGATGACTCAGATCCTTCGTCGTCGAATCAAGGCTCATTTGAAAGGAAGCATTCTTGGTCAAGTCCAGAGTTTCCATTCCTTCACCGGCGGGAACAAAAAAAGGTTTCTCGCAGCACGACTCTGAAGGGGACAGGCAACAGCCGATAATCTCCCAAGCCGTCTAGGGGCCTGCATCGTTGTTGGCCACACATTCGATCATTTGAGTTGCTGTTCGCTGTCCAAAACGCATGCTGACCTCAGCTCACCAATGCTATCTCCCCCTCTCTTGCTGAGTTCCGTCAATGACCAGACCGCCTCGCCGTCTGGATTTCGGTGTCACAAGAGTAGAGGCAGGTTTTGGACACTAGGCTGCAACTTTGAGCCGACAGTTTTGGCATGGGTTGCGTCTCGCAGCTGCGCAAAACAAAAGCTCAATACGGGTGTTGCAAGCCACAGCAAGGCTCTCCATGCTCAGACTCGCACCGCGCAGTTCCGCACCTCAGGCCTGCAACCCAAGCAAAAGGTACGGCCGGTCGCCTTTGCAATCCTGTGTGTGCGGCCGGCTGTTGTCGTGATTTCGGACGCGTAGCTTCTGTCTTTGCTCTTTAGCCGGAGTGGCGCACAAGAGCACAGCAAAACGCAGCTTTTGAAATGTGCTTCGAGAGCGCTCGCTGCCTGCTGTCTGAAGCAAGCGCTCGCAGCTGCATGAAGATTTGCACCTCACATGAACTCCTTCCCACACTCGTGTCCTATCAGGCTACTGTAGCAGCACGACTGTGGAAAGTCTCACGCTGAGATGGTGGCCCACAGTTCTTCGAAGGAGGCAGAGCTCTCTGCCTTGCAACGAAGGCGGAATGCTGGATGACTACAGTTGATTCGCTATCTGGTGGCGCAAGCTTCTAAAACCATTTTGCGAGATCGCCTCGCCAAGTACTCCTCTGCTCGACGTGTGACAGACACTCTCAACCCGAAGTCGTCTTTGGACAGCGTGGGGTTTATCATTTCAGTGGCCAGGTACTTGAAACGGGCCGTAGATGTCCATTGTTGGATAGATCTTTGGCTTTGATATGTCACTTGACATCGAAAGGCGCTCTGAATCCTCAAACCTGTCTAAGGCCTTTTCGAGCGAAGCTTGCATGCGCTCCGCTTCCTTGTAGCTGCCGGTGTGGTAGAACCCTTGGAGCTTGGCCTTCCAATCGTCTCCCAAAGCAGGAATCCTTGCACTCTTGGATGCGATTCGCCAACACAAAGATCTGCATTCTTATAAAACATCGGTAGGCGAGGGTGGTTCAGCTTTTTTGAGCTGGCAGGGTACACGATGGTATAATGATGTATAATGGCACATCTGGGCACACTGGAAGTTTCTACTGTGCGCAAGACAAGAGAAACGGCACCCCACAAGGCACACATTCGCGCAAAACATCTGAGCAAAACCTGCCATCAAGGGAAGCAGGCTCTGAGAACGGATGCTTGGGCCCTTGTGTTGGCTTCAAGAACCTTCCTTCAATCAGAACTGTGCTACCGAAGCTGTTCTAGATTCGCTTCCAAGTCTCTGCTTGAAGGGCAAGCCGGTACTGCCAGAACTGGAGCTGCCGCCGGGGAGAGTCGACAATCCAGGAAACCGTGTGCCGAAGCCCGTTCCCGTGATACTAAAGATCGTGTCAGCTATCCACTGCTGCATCGACACCTGTCTGACTTGGACGTCTTCTTGCAGTATACACGCAGAATGTGCGCAGTGAAAGCTTGACTAAGACTAAGAGCGCGGCCATAACATCAGCGCCGTAGTCGATGCCAACGTTGAAGCGGCGGCGGTGGTCCGGAGTTGGGGCTGCCACTCGGCCTTTTCCAAACGGGTTCAAGCTGACCTCGGTCCTTGCAAAGCCATCGGCAAGGAACACCGGACCTCCTGCTAAGGTACAAACCGGCCCGGACGCGATGTTCATACCCGCAGAGACAACTAGCTGCACGTCCACATGCTCGTCACCTGCAAGAATGCCGTTGCAGAGATCCCCCATCGCGTGGTCTAGGCAAATCTCCAAGCCAATCCTCAAGCCCCCAACGGAGAGCACACCACGCGGAAGTTCTATATCATTGCTGAATCCGAGCTCTTCCAGGAGTGCCTCCGGCATCCGTCCATATATGCATCCATTGGAGTGTGGATGTTTCCTGCAGAATTCGCGAGACTTGCGTGGCGGTGCCGGGACCATACGTGATCCTTCTGGTCGAGCGCGTATAAAATCGATTCCACTGATGAACCTCTTGAATTTCAAAAATGTCAAGTTCGTCCCCCCAACATGTACTGGAGCGAAATTGAAGTAGCTGATATTCTGATCTGGTCTCTCGGACATACGCACGTACCTCTCATCTGCAGCTTGGGCCATGACCACGGTTCCATCAACGATCAGCCAATGTTTGAAGCGTTCGTGCGCAAATTGATGAAAGATCCAATGGGCTGTAGGGTGAGTCACATTCTCGAGCCCCCTCTTTATCCGGTATGCCCCCTGCTTTCCTCGCCAGAAGAACTCAGGGAGAAGGACAATCTTCAGCGTAGTCGGGCGGCGGTCCCAGTGCTCAGATTTGAATGCTCTATCAATGGCCTCAAGCATGATTTCCATTCGCCTGGTGACATCTTCACGAACAGTGCTGCTTCCCAAATAGCACTGGTCCATCTCGGCATGATAGTCGAAACAGCCATCTACTTCCGTGCCGGGAGCTGTAAACAGGTTCATGCCCAAGTATTGGACGTCCGTGTACTGCTGTCCATCGACCAAAACCACCGGAACTGCTTTGGGTGGCTGCTCGATTGCAGGAGGGGCAGCCTGGAGAAAACAGTAGCAACTGAAGCAAAGCAGCACGGTCCCAACGGCAATGCAGCCACGGGTACGCTGAACCACAGCCGCAAGAACATGCTGTCGGAAAGAGGTCTTTCCATTCAGCTCGTGATACGGCTGCACGGATCGCGAGCTTTCACAATCTAAGGTTTCATCTAAGACTGCCTCATGGAGGACCATCAGAACAAGAAGATCCCACTAAGAATGGAACATCCTGGAAGACCATTTGAGCCCAAAAGCACACATCAATTCAATCCAAGGCCTGTGGCGCTAAACATGTGAGGCGCAACCAGCTGAAGCCGCTTTATGACGCCTTATGCCGTGTTTGCCAAGGGAGGGCTGAAAGTGGCACTGCAGGCAAAACCATGCAGCAGGAAAAAGCCTCTTGGCTCGGTTGGAGGGACATCCCTCGCACAAAGCTTGAGGCTTGCAATCGCTTGGAGCTACGTACAAGCACTGCAAGCCTGGCGACAATTCGTGGTGCCAGCTGCATGCCGCGACTTGGGCACGTCAGCCAGCTGCCACAAGCTCAAAGCCATAAAGGTGTCGTGGCCCCGTGGCGAAACCTGCAAAGCGGCCGCTTGCGAAGCCGTGTTTTGGAAGCACATCTCTAAGCTCTTCCGAGATAAAACATTTGAGAGCGACTGAGGCCAGTCCTTTCTGGCTAAGACGGCTAAGATTCCCTCAAAACTCAGACTCAGGGTCGAATCCGAAAGGACCAGCGCAATTCTTGGCTCCAAGTTGAAGCTTGTGTTTGCCACATGCGAAGCGGCTGCAACAAAAGGACTTTCATGCCACGCTCCTTCGGGGCAGTGGCAATATCTGGTTCGGCTTGGCTACGCAGCTATCACGATTTGCCGACCGCGTGGCAACACAATTTCGAACTACAAGTACTGCTGCTTACCGAGGAGAAGCACCTCCGGAAGCGAGACCAAACAAGCCAGTTCGCGCTTGACCGCTTGCAGCTCACGTTCCTCTCGGCTCATGCAGCGCAACGTTGGCAACAGTCAGGTGCCAGAAGCTCACGCATCCTCGGCTCTACCACATCCCAGGCATGCCCAAGTTTTTCCTGTTCATGCCCGACACTCGGTTCTACCACATCCCAGGCTCGACACGCACTAGCGCTGCACCTGGGCGCTTCAATCGTACTCACCTGCTTGCCGCGCCAGGCACGACCACACCTGCGGCGCTGGCAGCCGCAGTCTCCAGCCGCTTTCCTTCCAAAGCACCGACTTTCCACGGTAGCTTTGCCCAAACCTGCAGCATTTTCCAGAAAAGCACAGGTGCAGCAGACAATACAGAACTGACCCACTATGCGACCTTCGCGGTGACCAAACCGTGATATGGCCGCGGCAGATGTTGGCCCGTGAAATCTCGTGAAGATGCCAGAACCGAACAACATTGCGCGGGGCGAAAGGGGGGCGAAGCATCGCATCACCGAGGCACATCTTGGAAAGTCTTCCCAACACCTGCTGGAGCTATCGATCGATCGTTTGGCAAACTCAGCGTCACTGCATCATCCTCCCCGCCTCGCTGGGGGCACTCCGATAGATCCTGCAGCTCTTCAGCCAGAGCCTTCGCGGCGCCTTCGTGCGAGCTGGGCGGAACCATGAGGAAGACTTCCTCAGCTGAACACCGCAAGCCTTGGGTTGCAGCTTACATTGTGATTCCACTTGCGGCAAGGCCGGCTGTGGCGAATCCCACCACCGCGTCTTTGGGGCTCCTCGGAGTCAATGCAGTGACAATGCATTCTTCAGCCATCCTCTGCTCAGCGGAAGTGTCCTGTACCGCTTTTCATACTCTGGGCATATCATCGGCGGAGCTTCCAATGAAATGCTGTCGGGACCTCCAATCAAGTTGGCAATGGGCTGAAAGAATTCTCGGCTGTGACATGCAGTGCCTCTGTACACAAAAATGCTCGCTGCGGCAAACCTTTGACTCTTGGCCTAAAGCTCTTATGCACGACTCAGGTGCAACATCTGAGATTCTGCATTTCAGGTTGGTGCAAGGGAGAAATAAGTCGTTCGACGAACTCTGCAAGGCAAAGCTGAGGACAGCCCAGCTCTTGAGCCTCCGGAAGACATAACCGACATAAACCAAGCTCACAAGGCATCTAGCGTCGACCACTGCGACTCTCTCAACGTCCAGGCCATGAGACAAGCGACAGAGCCGCCGGTCAGGCGGCGATGAGGCGAGGAAACACCAAACACAGGACTCCGCAAGACCAACAAGCAGCGACCACAAGGCATTCCACTCTGCCCGGCCTGCCCACAGCCGTAAACAAACTCTGACAATACAATCTCTGCCAGGCCGGGGCTTGAAACTCGATTAAAGCAGAAGGTGGCGCGTCTTTCCGACAGAGCCAGGGTTCTTCAAGAAAAGTCTTGTTTCGAGAATGGCTCCAGCTTTTTCCAGCGTTTTTTGGAACCAACAGTGCTCGCGCCAGATTCATTTTAGTCTATCGCGGCTGAAGCTCATTCCATTTGCCCATCTCTTACGGCAGTTGCAACTTTGAGACGGGTTGGCTGCGACCTGCAGGCGGTCCAGGTGTTGGAATGTACTGTGGACTGCTCTTAACCGGAGGATGCGAGTGCGAGTCTTCATAAGACCACACACGATCACACACGCAACGCCATGTCGTGAGCGACATGCTTAAGCTGCTTACCCCATGTACTGGCGAGATCTAAACTTAACATTTCCAGGCCTAATGATGGCTGCGCTGCATGTGCAGTACTTGGAGACGACCGCGTCATCGAGAAGATTACGATTTTTAGACCAACGTGACGCCCTGTATTGGAATTCAGCAGGGATCGTGTTTTCGCTACGATCCGGGCACGCCGGCATCACCGAAGGGTTGTCAAATGCGAAGACAAATTGGGGTTACGACAACGCCAGCCTATGCTGGCATTATGGCATTAGGAGAGGCTTGCGAAATGCGAGGGCAAGGCTAACTTACATATGCAAGAGATGCGAGGCAAATCGAGGCAACCTCACGAAAGCCCGAAT